CTCAAAGCACGTACAAAGGAGGTCGGTACCATTATCCCCAATTTTATGGGTGGGGAAACTGAGGCACAGAGGAAGTGATTTGCTCAGCGTCACCCAACAATCCTATGGCAGAAATGGGAATTGAATCCAAATCCCTGTATCCCAGTCCAGAGCTCTGTTAGGAAAGACAGCAGCAAGCCTTGTTGGGACCCAATCTTGTGGCACTGAAGTCAATGGGAGTTTCGCCATTGACTCCAAGATGAGTTATTAACCGTTGTGCCTCTTAAACCCACCACCTCCGTTATTATTATTTTTAAGTGAAAGGCAGTAAGGACCACAGGGCATCGCTTAACCCAGTCTGGTGCAAATGGACGGTTTAACATTGGAGTGCTGCTCGACTGAGCGATGACTCGAGATGAGTGCAAGAGCGTGTTTGTGTTTTCAGGGTTGTTTCTTCCCTGGGAAAGATCTCAGTTGGACACAGTGTTTTTGTTTCAAGCATGTGACAGTCTGAGCACAGGCTATCTTTAGACATTACCCTGAAAGTAGCATTTGCACTGTGTATGCCTACTCGGCTTTCTTACCACCCACCCTGCAACGGGATTGGGTAGAATCTCTCACACAGCTGTGGGGTATGAGAAATGGCAGGATGCAATTGGCACGTGTGCGTCTGGGAGATACTTTTGAGATCTAGATAAGGGGAGGGGAAGCGGGGGTGGCGGTTTGCAGCAACGTTTGTTTGCCATGTGGGCTTGCCCATACTTCCAGGGTTTGGGGTTTGTCCCCATCCATATGTGGGCTGTAGGAAAGGCTGGGATTGTGCCCTTCCTTCCTTCCCCAGCAGCCGGGGTTAGTAGTTATCCTTAAAATTGTCTGGTAGTGACACTGCGCGGTAATCGTACAGCAAAGATTAGTGCCGAACGGTGTTTTATGGTCCCAGATTAGATTACTGATTTTTAAAGGCCCACACTAGTTTTTTTCCTCATTATTTTATTTCTCCGCTTACCACTACAGAATGGAGTTAGGCACCAAAACAACTCTTACTTCTGCTTTTCCAGGCCTTAAAAAAAATTAAAAACATGGTGGATAATCACCACATCCTGTAAATGTGTTTTTACCTGTAAATTAGTGATAAATCCTCGTCTTCACTTCAGTTTAAGTTAATTTTTACCTGGCAATTTTTGTTTAAATTATTAAAGTTGCATAAATGAATACGAAAGAAGAGGGTTACTTTGTGATATTTCTAATGGTTTGAAGATGTGTAGTCTCAACCTTTAAAAACGGATGCTGTCTGGGGCCACCATCTTCCCTGAGGGCAGCTTGGCTCTATGCTCTTTGGAAACAGTGGCCATTTTGAAAGAGGGCCACTTAACTAAGAGGCTACGGTGAACTCAGTCCCAACTAGAATAAATGATGGTAGACATTTGGGAAAAGGGCCGTTCTTCATAGAATTCTTTGTAGAAGAACGTTTGTGAGCCTCATTTAAAAAAAAAATCTGAAGAAGTGTTTTTTTACCCACGAAAGCTTATGCCCAGATAAATCTGTTAGTCTTTAAAATGTCACTGGACTCCTAATTGTACATAATTTGTGGCTTGTTACTATGGCCCAGCCACTGACTTTCAGGGTCTTCTGATGCTGGATGGCCAACTAAAGTGTCAATGGATCCATGCTTTCTGGGATACATATACCCTGCCCAGTTCTGCACAGAACTGTTTCGTAGAATCAAAGGACTGGAAGGAACCTCAAGAGATTATCTAGTCCAGTCCCCTGCATTCGTGGCAGGACTAAGTATTATCTTGAGTTTGTAGTTTATATTTGGCACCAATGCAATAAAACATGTTTGTCTTATAACAAAGTGATAATAAATAGTGGATTTGATTAGAAGGTTGAGTAGGTCATTTGACTCTATCGTCGGATGAAAACATCAGCAAAGAACTCTTTTTATAGAATCTTATTTTGAAACCTGCATGTGTTTTTGTTGTTAGACTCTTCCACTTCCATCTGTATGAAAAGATCACAATAAATGGGTGTGCATCTCTCTTAGGAAAATGTAGCAAACTTGGCTTGATAGCTTTTCAATGCTTGTGTCAACTACAAAGCATGGGCTGCTTCTAAACAATACATGTATCAACCTCTGACACTGTGAAATAGTCAAAGTTCATTTGATGTTTTCTGTTTAATGTTTCTGAGTGTAGTTGGCTCAACAATAGATGATCGTGAGTTAACTTTGGAACTTTGCCTTGCAACGTCAATGTGCGTGAGACTTGCGATTGACCAATAATTGGTCTTAAAAGGGGGTGGAGGAAAAGATGGATTTTGGGGGGTGGTTAGTGAATAACAGAAAACTGTGATTGAAAGAATTCTCTGGCTGTAGCAGTGTGAGTTGAGGAGTGGAAAGAAGGCTCCTGTTTGCTAGGATACTGTATCCTCTTGTCAGGGTCATGATTGTCCATAGACTTCTGAGGTTAGCGCATTCGTGTGCTTTATGCTGCCAGGGAGCAAGTGCCTTTAACATGTCACTTGCATTTTAATAATAACTTAATTTTTTTCTGGCTTGGGCAGCGCTGCTCACCAGATCCGCACAAGCGGTGTCTGCTAAATATTATTTAATCTAGTAGAGTGCACTAGGATCTACTGAATTGCTTTTGAGTGGGGTTGTTTCTTTAGGAAGAAGAATGAACATCCTTCCAGAAAGGAGTGGTTTGGGTTCTGAGCTAAGTAGTGCAGAAAGCACAATCTTGATGCACTACCCATCTCTCCAGACTCTCCAATCTGGGCTCAACGGGGGAATCCAATTAAGTGAAATATATGTAAGGATTTTAGTGCCCTAAATATTCCCTACTTTTTCCCCTGTAATGCCCACCTTTCTAGTCAGATTCTGACCAAGGAGTGAATGAAAGCTTTGTTCAGTGCCACTTGTCATTAAACTTGTTGACTACATTTAAGCAAATTTGAACAGTAAAATACTAAAACCGAAACTCTGCATCAAGCATCTGCTGCTTCAATTCTGGGAACAGACATCGCTTTGCCCTATTTCTGGGGGTGAACTTGCAAGACACTTAGCACCCTGCCTTTGCTCCTGCTGAGATAATAGGAGTTAAGGATGCTCATCGCAGGACCAGTTGTAGTAAAACTCTCCAGGATTCTGTCCCATCTGTACTGCTCTTGGGAGAAGCATTAGTGAGATATTTTTATTCCTTCCATCCTCCTCCTTCCCTTTGGTACTTAGCCTGGAGAGTCTCTCACGTGCAGTATTTTTAGCCAGAAGAGTGAGCTGTGTTTATGCTTCATCAGCTCTCCAAACATCCAGCAACATCTGGATGGCACTTCTCAGCAGGGACCTTGCAGCCTACCTCTTGCCCCCCAATACGGACTCCAGCTACTGCAGTAGCAAGCAGTATTAGGGCAATGGAGTTCCTGCTGTTCGCTTTCCAAAGGGGCCACTCTTCTAATCTGCTTCTGAGCTCTGCTGCTTTGGCTAGTGCTCGTCTGTTGCTATCCTTGGTCCAGGTGGTGTGAGATGCACGAATACATGTCATCGATGTACGTATCCTAACATTTCCCCCTCAATGGAAAGGACAGCGTTGATGTCCTTCATGAAGTATTTGTAGGGATGGGTGCATCTCTAGCTCGCCATCTCTTCAGGGTTGCCAGGAGTCCAGTTTTCGACTGAAACGTCCTGTCAAAAAGGGAGTCTGGTTTGTGTGGGGTTGGCAGGCTCCCTAACTGGCTCCATGCAGCTCCCGGGAAGCGGCAATGTGTCCCTGCGGCCATGGGGGCTCCACGCACTGCCCCAGTCCCTCCCTGAGCACCAGCTCTGCAGCTCCCATTGGCCGGGAACCACAGCCAATGGGAGCTGTGGGGGCGGTGCCTGTGGGTAAGGGCAGCGAGTATGCTGCCTGGCCGCCCCTACGCCTGCGAGCCGAGGGACATGTCGCTACTTCCAGGGAGCTCCCCAAAGTAAATACAGCATGGAGCCTGGTCCCTGCACCCCCTCCTGCGCCCCTGCCCCAGCCTTGAGCTCCCTCCTGCACCCCAAGCCCATCACCCCCTGCCCCCCCCAGAGCCTGCACCCCAACCTCCTGTCTCAGCCTGGAGCTTGCCCCCCCCACTCTCTGAACCCCTCATTTCTGATCCTGCCCTGAAGTCTGCACCCCCAGCTGGAGCCCTCACTCCCTCCTGCACCCCAATCCCCTGCCCCAGCCTGGTAAAAATGAGCAAGTGAGTGAGGGTGGGGGAGAGTGAGTGACAGAGGGAGGAGGGATGGAGTGAGCGGGGTCTCGGAGAAGGAACAGGGCCTTGGGGAAGGGGCAGGGTAGGAGATGGGGAAAGGGTGTTCGGCTTTGTGCATTAGAAAGTTGGCAACCCTAGTAAGAGTTCTGATGCTTTTATTACTAAAAGGGGCTTGCAGTCCCTCTAGAAATTTCACAAGAGTAATCTTTCTCATTCAGCTTTAATTGCTTCATGGTGTCACTGGGGTTTGCCTGTAGGGTTTCTGTTTCTGGACAAAGGCAGGTAGGATAGGTGCTTTGTAAACAAACCAGTTAGGGGAAGGAAAAGCAAAACCCTACAGGATCCTTCTTCCTAAAATGCCAGAACTGAAACTTTCTGAACTTCACTAAAGCAAGCTTTGGGGAGAAGATTCAAGCAGGCTTCCCACATGCTCCTCAGTTAAAGCAGCTCTCCTTTTCCCTTTGCTCAAAGGACATCCAAGAAATGACTTCCCTTTTAGCAACCTTGATAGCGGAGTAGGCCTTGATGGTTGAATATTCTGGCTGAGCCTCCTCATTGCTGCTGGCCAGCAGAAGTCCCATTTTTCCCTCTGTCCCTACAGCTGTCTAGCTTTATATGAAACAAGTATATCTGTGATTTGTGTTCCTGCTGAGTTAATGAGAATATTCACAGATAATGTGTAGATTTCATTAAATATTCAAAAGGTCTCAGTGTTAACATTTTAAATAAAACTTTTTCCCCTTCCCCCAAACAAGCAAGAGGACTAATCCGTCTCTGTTTTTCCCTAGGAAGCTGCACAGTGGTATGAAGACTTATGGATGTGAGTTGTGTGGGAAACGATTCTTGGATAGCTTGCGGCTCCGAATGCACTTACTGGCTCACTCAGGTAGGTTTAGAGACTTCGATGCTCCGTTAGGGGACTGCTGCCTCTGTCATATTGACCCAAATCTATTGAAACTCCCAGACAAACTTTAACAGTGCACGCATATGTGTAGGGCTGGGGATTATTTTAACCATTTTAGAATGGTAAATTATGACTATATTCCCTTTTAATTCCAGAGCCAGTTACATTCATTTTCAGAGGTTTTGTTTTCAGCTCTTTAACTGGGGAAATATTTGCAGGTCCTCAGCAGCCTGGAATAACAGACTTGGACTACTGCATGGCTGAGTGCTATTCAATTGCCTCCATCCACTTCGGCCACGGTATTGGAGTGGTTTTCCTGTGTGTGTGTACTGTATTTGCCACGTACAGGCACCCACTGCAGTTTCATTAGCAAAACCGTTGCAAAATTAGGCACTCCGTCTAATGAATCTAACTATTGGGTTCAAATTATGCAGGCCCTTTAATTAAATAGATATAGAAAGGTTGGAATGCTAAACTAGTGAGAAGACGATGTGTTTTGCAAGTTAATTTAGTCTGAAATTCCTATTGGGTATAGAGTCCCATATACAATTAGTTTTTCTATTTAAAAAAAAAATGCAGGCAGCCATTGGATCCATTTGCTGAAAGGTAAAGTGTACATACGAATCCATGTCTCATTCATTCAAGGGTAAATCACTTAGGGGTATGTTCACACTGCTCACGAAGCCTGGGTGCTTACTCAGGTTTGAGCTCATGCCCCACGCTTCTGTCCACGCACACAAATCAGTCTGTCTCGGGTCAGCAAACACTCAAGACCAAGGCCCTGCAATACTGCTAGGGAGGTGGGCCAGAGCCCAAGTCCCGCTGTGACTCAGGTTCAAGCCTTGTCATTTTGCAGGTCTGGACGCGAGACAAGTTGCAGTCCTGAGTCAGAAGGTCTTTGTAGTGTAGTATGGATCATTAGTATGGCTCCAAGACCTGGCTCCAGCAATTGTAAAGCCAAGTTTACAGACACACAAGTGCAGGCTTGGAAACATCGAGTCCACAAGCCCAGGTCCCACAGACCTAAGCTTAGTGTGCAGTGTAGACATAACTGCAACACTACCAAAAAAAAATCCCTGCAGCAGTGAGTCTGAGCCTATGTCAACTGACTCAAGCTCCCAGGGCTTGTGTTAGGGAGCTAAAAATAGCAGTGTAGACATTCTTGCTCAGGCTGGAGCCTGGGCTCTGAAACCCAGTTGGGGGGAGGGTCTTGGCCAGAGTAGGAACACCTATATTGTTGTCTTTAGCCCTGTGGTGCAAGCCCGAGTCAGCTGACCTGGGCTCTGAGATTCTGCTGTGGGGGTTTTTTGCAGTGTGGACACACCCTTAGAGTCCACATGAGTTTACAAGGCTGCACGTTTGGAGTAATTTTGGAAGGATGCTAGCATCACTATAGAACTTTCTGCCATATGGTCTGTAGGAATAATCACAGGGTGGAGAGTCAGAAGGCAGTGAGTTCTAATCCTTCCTCTGCTATTCCCTCCCTATGTGGCCTTGGGCAAGTCACTGCACTTTCTGTTTGTTTGTTTTATCTTAGTGCCTGAGAGCCCTAGTCATTGACCAGGCCCTCATTGTGCTAGGCACTGTACAAACACAGAACAAATGGTCCATTTCCCCACCTGTAAAATGGTGATAATTAATACTTACTCACCTACCTCCATAAAATGCTAAGTGTTATAATTCCTGCCAGTGCTTTAATCGTGAATGGTAATAAGTATGAGAGACCAGATGCAGGATAATTTCCTAACTGAAGTTCATGCATCTCATGGAGGTGCTGCTTCTGTCCTTGTTCTTTAAGCACTGAGAGTGGCTTCTGCCATTCTGTTTGGGTCAGAGTGGGAACCGAAGCACACAGATATCTCCTAGCAGATGACTCCTAGATGGTTGATCATGGATCATTGAATCTCCTCTGACATACACCAGCAGCTCTAGAGGTCCTGACAGGGCTAGAATAAACACGATCATCTGACCATAGACATGCAAACAAATGTGGGATAAATGAAGAGATTGTGCACAATAAATACAATCAGTTTTTTCAAATGCTTCATAAATTGTTTTCTGTGGAAGATGAGCACGCGCTGTCTCTCTCTTACTCCTCTGTTGTTTTTTTTTCCCTGCAGTCTGTGCTTGGTCCTGGGTATGGACTGCTGTATTTCTTTTAATCTTGATACATGAGAAATTAGACTTGGAGAGGGAAGAGGGCTGCATGGCACACGGGGAGTAAGACAGCAAGCTCTCGGGCACAATTTCAAAGCTGGCATAAGGCACCAGTGAACTGAGTTTGAGAGGAACTCAGAATAGTCTCCAAGGGTCTCTTCTCCATAGCACAAAACTACCCAGCAACATAATTGTCAGTCTTTGCTTAAGGGGGAGGCCTGCGGCTGGAATAAGGGAAGCAGATCATGAGTGAGATACCCCAGCAGGTCTGGTCACGTAGGGGCTTGCGCAGAGCTAGGCAGTGTTGCGCCTGGCTTTCCCCATTGCTCTGTGTTGATGGAGGGTGGGCAGCTAGATGCTGCAAGAGGACTCGTCATACACATGGTGAGAGTGGTTGAGGAGGGCTGTTTTTTCCTGTTGTGAAAATAGGGGATGATCCGGTTCCATTATATCCAAGCCACTCAAGTCTGGAGGTTTGTTTGGGATTGTCCCAGTCTCTAAAAGAGAAATTCTCCTGACCCAATAAGAGCTCACACCTCTGAGTCCCAGCTTTGAGAGCCTGGCCCTAAATTAGCTGAACTTTCAGCTGTCCCGCGGGCAGGCGTTAGGGGCAGCTGAGTATCTCCCGCGAGAAGGGCATGAATTGGGGGGCGTGGTGCTGCTGGGAGGTGGATGACAGACACTAGAGCCAGGAATCACGCAGCTGCTATCCAGGTTTCTTCCCAGAGCTCTGGCAATTCACCTTGCTCCCTTCCTCTGGCACCTCTGCCCCTTTACTTATGGGCCTCTCCTCAACATTCAGTGTCAGGTGCACGAATAGTCTCTGGAATACCAATGCACCCCAGAACCCCACTGCACAGTAACCTGGCACAAATACTGAATGGTATTGCGGTAATACCTAGAATGCTTGTTGTGCAAGGCGCTGTACAGACAGTGAAGATCTGTTTATTGTTCCTCCTCTCCAACCTCTCTTGTCACCGAAGGCTGACTCTGAACTCCTGGTGCATGATGGTGATCGTAGTCAATTTATTAGACTATCTGCCACACCTGGATCCTCCCACATGCATGAGTTTGGCATTCCAAATGGAAATGAATCCATCCGCTGTTTAGCTGTATTTCCCTGACACCCTGCCTCTCAAAAAACCAAGAGCAATAACTCTTGTGCTGCTGTTTTCTTCTGTGTTTGGTCCTGGATATTGACTGCTGTATTTCTCTTAATCTTGATGCATGAGAAATTAGACTTGAAGACTTTTCTTCTGTGTTTCCTGTACCTAGGCTAGTGTTCCTTCATATATATCTGAGAGTCCGCTGTGACTGGCTTTATAAAAAGAGTCCGGTTATAGATTTTATTCTAAAAAATACTAGATATAAATCAATGAAAAGACAATGGCCCCTTTTTATTTCTGCCTTTAAGGCCTGATCCCGCACGCACTTCACTCAGCATGGTCCTTATTCTCAGGAGTAGGCCACTTGCCTCCCTTTGTCCTTCTCACAGTATCAAACACTACTCCCAGCTGTAAGTATTTGCAGGATTGGATCCTCTGATTTGTTGTCATTTTAATTGGGCCAGATTCTGACTGGCGTTACCATCCGGTGTATATTCCTGGAGTCGCTCCCCTGAAGCCAACTGCCTCTGAGGTCCTGGCTAATACCTGGCATTGTGGCAGGCCGTGTGTACTGCACTGAGCATCTCAGCTGTGTTTTCCCTTCCCCCTCCTCCTCCTCCTCCATCCTCCCCCTTTTTTTGGCTTGTGCTGCCTGTGTGTGTTGTTGTCGTTTTGGCCCCATGCCAATCCCTGGCGGGCTGCCAGCCTTGTGGGTACAGTATGTACAGTGAACATTGAGCCAAGTTTGTCATCATACAAGATTAATTTTTTTTCTAATCTGTCTGGGGTTGGATGAAATCCGAGGGTGGGGGGAGGCAGAAGGAGCTGTTTGAACGCTCGAAAACAGCCGCATTAAATTCCAGCACTGTTATTTATTAAAACACGAGACCTTTGCACCTCTTCTTTTCCTTTCTTCTCCCCCCCCCCCCATGCAATGAGGTTGTGTTGGATCCACAACATGAGGTCATGTTTTCAGTGACTAGCATGCTAAAATTAAATCTCCTAAATCCAGTTTTCATTGTCCAAATGGACAATTTTGTTGAATTAGAAGTTTGCCCTGTAGGAGACCCTTATGATTTGGGGTCCCCCACACCTCAAAAGGCCATAGATGATGGCAGTAGTAAATGTTCCATTTAATTGAAGTTTTTCCATTTCAGTCGGAATGTGTTCAACTAATCAAATGTTTGAGGGATACCTGATGATAAAGAGAAGTTTAATTAATGAACAATAAACTAACAGATTAACTAACGAGATTGTTCTGGCCTGTCCCGGTTCTGTGACTCCTCTCAAGGTCGTATTGTACTGTAATGCGGGGGTAGGGGGCGGCGCTTGGGGAGGGATGAGCACTAAATCGGTGCTTATTTTATAACGTACAGTTCAATTCATGTCATCTTTCACCTGACCTGCTGTCAGTTCCGGTGATGTGCTGGGGAAAATCTTTTTTGGGGGTTTCCAGTCATAGGGAAAGGAGAAATGCTCTGATGCAGCTCTGGGAGATCAGTTAGAAAGTTTTTCCTCTCTTTCTCCCACTTTTAGGTTTCTCTGGGAAGCTGAGAGACTGTAGGGCCGGATCTGCAGCTGGTATAAATAGACAGCGCTCCAGTATCTGGCCCTCGCTCTGGTGCTAAGTTCAATATCTACCCATTTTATATAGCAGGAAAAAGAGCAAGAGGGGTGAATCTGCACCGTTGCCACCTCTTCCAGTGTTTTTGTCAGTCT